ATATTTTCAAGCTTTTTTAAACATAGTTAAAAACTATTTTACAACCGCAAGCCAACATTACAACCTTTGTAGCAGGACAAGAAAAGTGGGAACTTTGACCTCTTGCCCTGCACAGTGTACAATGAGTCTTTTAGCTCAAGAAAATAAAAATGTCCAGCAAGCTAACTTTATTTGTGGAGTCTATTCTCCTTGTGTTTATTAAAAATAAATAAATAAATAAACAACATATAAACTTGGCTGCCAATACAGGAATTCGATGTCTTACTGAAGCTAGGAAAACTTTGCTGCAGCAAGAAAAATCTTCAGTTTTCCTCCAATACAAGACCAATATAAACCTATCAATTTTCACATCTTTGCATTCCCTTGCTAGAGCACGATTATCAGGAGATGAGGCTGCAAAAGTGTACGGATTGTATATTACTCAACAACGATGGTGGAAATGAAGCAATATTTCGTAGTTTCCAAACACTATGAATATCCCACTGCAATTGATTCCTTAGAAAATGGTTATTTATTAGGTTTTGCTTTGATTCTCATTAAAGATCTAAATATGGAAATGTATTATGATTTATTTTCTTTCCTTTCTTACTTGTCTACGAAAACTAGAGGTCAGATTTATTCACTCAAACTCACCTTTTGCAACTAATGGCTCGTTCGAGACATCAAATCTATATTCTGAAAACAAATCTAGAAGACAAAAAACTAAACACAGATATATAATTTATGTTCTTTGAAGTAAAACAATGAAGAAATAATAAAAGAGAGGCTTTATAAATAAATAAAAAACATAACATTAACTGGCAATTTGACGTGTTTTAAAAATACAATCATCAGATTTTGATGACAAATCATTATATTCTCTATATCTACTGAGTGCTTCCCCAACTACCTGGCTTGCTCATCACTGTAAAACTTGCTTCATAGGGCACAGATGTCTTATCCTGCACACAACAACAGACAAAACTATTAAGTCTTGACGACACAAGTTTAGTCAGATAAATTATCTCACATTTCTGAATTACTGCCAAACATGAAAAAATCATTTTTCACAAATGGATTAGAAATCAGATCCTATGAACACAGCTATGATTTTAAGCTAAGTATTACCATTCTTTCAACTAAAAAGTGGGTTCAGATTCCATTATTGTTTATTGGTGTATAACTATTCAATTTAAATTCTAAAAAGTAACTATGCTGTAGCACATATTTAATTAAACATACTCATTGGCTACTGTGATGAAAAAACAATTTCAGAAACATCTTAAAAAAATTGGCTATAATGGCATAGAGGCACTTAATCACATACAATAACCACTTTTTTGGAAAAAACTAGACATATTAAAAAGCACCTAGAAAGACCATATATAGTTGTGTAACATCAGGCAGCAGAGAGAGAGAGAGAGAGATCAAAAATGAACAGATCAACAACCTCGAGATACTTTATATGTAGTACTATCAGGCTGGTACGACACCATTCTTTCCGCCCCGCTTCAAATAACATGTTGCATAAGGTCATAACCTTCTTTCCATTCTCTTTGAAGCACAGAACAATAAATGATAGTTAAATGATTGAAGCACTCTGACTAAACACAACTTTATAAGAAGATATGGGCAGGTTTTAGATACCAGCATTGAAAGATCAAGTAAACTTACAGTTAAACCTTTCAAACAGTGTGCCAACGAACTCCTTGCTTTGTAAGTTTTGCACCAGGACATAGATATCTCACAATAATAACCGCAATGTCAAAACCATTAAGTGAACAACAAAAAATTTTTTTGGAAGCTCTAACATGATTGAAAATTCTGAATTAGAAACTAATTAGAGTTCATCTAAAAAAAAAGGTAAGCACATGTAAGTGCAAGAGAAAATTAAACCTAAAGCACAAGAA